TTTGCATCGGCTGAACAGAGCGAATGAAAACGCGCATCTAAAAGATGCAAATGCGTTCGCATTTAAAATATAGCAAATATTAATTTCCATTCGTTGCATTCGCCGGATGCGGATATAAACACAAGGTTTAATATGGACCTCAAGACCTCCGGCTATATAAATGTTACAGTTTTAATCAGTTAGAAATGTTATCAATCCGAACTTTGATAACAACAACTCATAATATCGTCTATCACAATTATCATGAATCAATGTCACGTACAGTAGGAAAATTATTAACAAAGCTCTAGTTGATGGCACACAGAGCGCCTTCTGTTTGCGRCTTTGAAGCTTGTTTATCAGCAGCTTTTTCAACTCGAATGTCCCCCAAACAGCCCGGAACTGTTCGCGCTAATTATTTTTGTTGGTCGCTATGAGCCTCACAAACGAAGACAGAAGGTGAATCCTCTTAGCTAGTTTAACAGCAAATTAAATGTTTTATTGAAAAATTGCGSTGCTCAAACAATTGCAAATTTACAGGTGGTTGTCGAGATTCAATCAGGTCGGACTGGTATTTTCAAGATTTCGCCACTAATGCTAAATGAAGCCACTTTACTTCCTGATGTTTTGATTGCATTTCATTTTTAGTTTGATCGATTAAAAAATTATTTGGACTCGACCAGTTAAAAAATCGATTATATAACTAAATACGTATTAAATTTCCTGTATTTTATATAAAAATTTAATTTGCCGAACACAAAGCAGGATCTATGCCGATCAAGCGGTGATTAGCGTGGATATGGGGAAACAGTACAAGCACGCAAATAATTATTTAAAAAAAACCGCTAATGATGGTTCGTAAATTACTACCTGTTATGCAATAGACAATGGTAGAAGGTTTAATTATTTTTAAAATTGCTGCTCATGTGCCTGTATGTGTGTGGTTTTTTTTCTAGATGCTGCTTATTTAAACATTTCATTTGGGGCCAAGCAGCCGGAAAAATTGAAGATTTCTAATTATTCCCCACACAAATCGTCAGCTGCTTCGACTGTTCTAGGTCATCAATAATCCGCGATTTTAATAGACTTGCTATTAATCGCAATCCGATGTTAACATCGGATAGTAAAGTTTTTCAAGAAAACCGTTATCAACTTGCCACGAGTAGATTTGGATCTTTTTGCCACACTTTCTACAAGAGTCACAWTGTGCTTCAGACCGATTCTGGCTGTKGYCTAAACAGAAAAAGACAATTGTGTGCTTTCTACCAACGAAAMCGCAAAATACTTTATTTTACTACAGTACTTGTGAGAATTYTGGCATACAAAATTAAACGGTTKMCTRAACGTGCAGATCGTTWRMAGAYTTTAGAATTCGCTCGTTTTATGTTCCAGAATCGCAGTTTCGAGTGGAAATTGTCGCATTTCGAGGACAATTTCTGCGAAATATTGCCGTCATTCCATACATGGATTTTTTTGTTTATTATTTCAGCCAGTCGCTTTTTTATTGCAGAGATCGTAATCTTCCACCCTCTGAACCCAGCGCTCATATAAACTTACTAATAATTGTTTGATAAAATCGCCGCTGGCCTTAATTTACTTTTTGGTGTTGCCAATGTACGAACGGAACGGAATGGAATTGAATATTTGTCTTATTTTAAATGAGGCATTAACATTAAAGCTACTTTTCTAACAAAACCATTTATTCAAGCGCAATATTTTAACGTCTGTGGAGTCTTGAGATCGCCGGCTAATAAAATGCTTTAGTTGTTCTAAAACTCAATATCAAAGTCTTCAATCGTCTAAATTAACGAGAAAGTTTCAGTTTTCCACTATTGAAGCTGTCTTTGAAGAGGAAGCATAAAACCGTAACTGTTAATGTCAATCCGAGGAAGTTGACCAAATTAAACAAGTCACAAGGAAAAAATACGAGAAATGGATGAACGTTTCAATTCGATATATAAATCAAAAGGCGACTTTCTAAGTTGAAGCTGATCTTCTGCAAGGTACCAATAAAACATCCGAAGCATTTCCGCTTTTCATACCGGTACCATTGTAGGCGTTATCAATTACCCGATAAATTGCACTTTATAGACACGCCATCGCTAATAAGCCGACATTTGCAAAGGAAGAAGCGCTTTGCTGGCCGCAAAATAGAAAGTTGAGTTCGATGTTCGGATCACGACCCGAAAATTTCTCGTTGGCTCTTATTAGGAAGATCGCAGATCTCGCGAATGAAGATCCATTGTTTTCGCTGAAGAGAACATTCATTTTTCCACTTTGTTGCTGGGTATTATGAAAATGTTTTTTGCTTATTGTTTGTGTGAGGATTCATCGAGTGATAATTTGAATGGTTTTAACCAGTAAAAAGTCATACACATACGAAATAAAAGGCGCCCAGCTGCAGTTCGAGAACGCGAAAACATTGACAACCTTTTCCACTTGCTGTACGTGTTTGAGAATAAATCAAGTTGAGTTTCTTTGGTTCTGCCATTCGTTGAGCGCCTACTTTCGCATTTAAATTCACGATTAAAATTGTTGGACGCACGTAACTTCCTTAGATTGATCGCACAAATATAGATAATCGTTTTGCCATGCTAATAAGCCCTATGCGGTATGTGCAGGTACATAACCGAATATAATCTGTTATTAATTATTGTCGAAACTAAAACAGCTTATGCAATCAACGTGACTTTCACCTTTTGTTAGAACCAGATCGGCTGCCCGAAAATTAACGCGTTTTATTGTTCCTTTTGGATTACCAAATTAACTTTTGTCAGTGTAAAGTTTGGGTTTTATGGTCCACGGCTTTCTTACCGGATCTGTCGCATTAGATATGCACATTGTTGTACAATAACAAACCAAAAAAACATATTTGGTTGTTGATTTTGTTTCAGGAAGATTCTGAAGCAAAACTCTACCTTTTCCCCGCAAGGTAGATTCGAATAAAACATAAACAAAAACAATGCTCGATTTATTGTTCCGGTTGAGGCTACAAATAAAAGTAGCACTGTAAGAAGAAACCACACTGTGAATGCGTGCTTGTTTAGCAATGGTTCATATTATTGGCTTAGCTAATCTCTTGTGTCGATTGCACAATTTTCAGCCTTGAGTTGATCCGTTCTCTCCTCTTAAGACAATATTTATAAACAGTCAACTCGAGTCATGCAGGTTTTTTCTCGAAAGCTTAAACACTAAAATCAACAAAACAACGCAACTCAAAAGTGCAAATGTCTTCGAGGAAAGAAATTCTTTTTCTCGTCGGTCTAAAGGCTTGAAACGTTTTGAAACTTAGGGCCAAAAGAGAAGGCATTTTAAGCGCAAAATTTCCTGGTTTTGTCGCGTTGAAGTTCACGTTCATTTCCTAGTAGGTCTGGGTAACTCAAAAATGTTTAGCAGTTGGCGCAGTGCTTCGCAAATGGCTTGGTGCGCTGGCCCAAGGCACCGGCGCAGTAACTCAGTTGCGTTGCTGGGAAAATGTTGATGACTTTTTTACTTGTTTTTAGATTTATTTTATCAACAATATTTCAAACATTTCTTCAAAATTTCTGAATTTTCCAGTTTTAGCAAAGTCACTCTTATTTCTAAATGCTCAATTTTCAAAAAAAATCATTAAAAACCTGACAATCTTAAGGTATTTTTCGCTAAAAATTATGAAATAAATGTCGGATCTTTCGTCGCTTTGTAAAACGTTTTGAAATCCCCATCATTTTCCATCAAAAAACGAATTGAACAAGCGAAAGTTTATAATAAATCATTTGGAAAACTCATCACTTCCATTCCTCTGACGGCTGTAGAGTTTTTTACAATGATATGTTTCTTCAGTTTTGACTGAATTTGTTTTACTTTGCTTTCTACTCAAAAACGCTCTTTTTTGAAGCGCTTTGCATAAAAATACTGACGATTTGGATGTATTTTACGCGAAAAATTACAAGTTATATTTCTAGCTTTGTCGGAATTTTACGCAAACTTTTCTCCGAGTCGAATTCGGGACAAAAACGAAAATAAATTTATCCCGTTATCCCGAAAACTATTAAGGTTTTCGCAAAAACCGATCACAAAACTAAAAGTTTTTAAACAAAAACGCAAAAAATGTACTTTTCTGATGATTTTGTTTGTATCGAATTTCTGATGATTTGTCAAAAATGACAAAATTGATTTTGCTAGAAAATTCGCCTCATTTATCGATTTGCAGAGAACTTTAGAAAACCTTTTCCAGATTCGAATTTGGCACAAAAACCAAATAATTTTATTCAGTTTTTTACCGAAAGAAATTAAGATCATCTTGAAAAAATGCCTAGAGAGCAAAAGTTTCCCAAAAATGATTTGGAAAATTCGCCACCCTCATCGCTCTGAAGATTTTTGAAGAATTTCAGGTCATTCCAGTTTTGGCAAAGTTTTTATTAAGCAATACTTGCTACGCAAAAAACGTATTATTTTCAGTTTTACTTAAAATACTGACGACAATCTTCAGGTATTTTCTGTGAAAATTAAAAATTTTATTGGAACATTCGGCTCCTGAACAGCTTTGTAAAATTGTTTCTGGTACCTTTGCAGCTTCGAATTTTCGACAAAACCCTAATAATTGTTTCTAGATTTTTCCCAAAAATAGTTCCCCGAACAGAACAAGTGAAAGTTTATAATCAATTATTCGGAAAACTCTTTGTCGCTATGAATAACTTGGTTTATTTAAATTCCGGTTTCTTCACTTTTAGGTCAATATTTCTAAACAAAAGTCTCTCTAAACAGACCAACGCGCTTTCCCTAACGTTTTACTGTAAAATACTGGCAAACTTAGAGTTTACAAGAAAAGTCATCGTCTGTACAGTTTTGTCTTCTTTATCGTCCTTTTCGAATACTCGTTTCACCTTTGAATTTGGGACAAAATCGAAACAAAGTTATCTTGTTTTTCTGACAAAATTTAGGTTTCCTCAAAAAAACGACCAGAGAAACAAAAGCACATAATCAATATTTGAAAAACTCGTCAGCTTCATCGCCCTGAAATTTTTTAAAGTTTCTTCAAAATGTCTGCATTTTCTCCCGTTTTAGACCAAATAGTTTCAGGCAATCGTATGTGCAAACATATGTTGATCGCTGTTTCTTGTGAGATGTTAAAAGTCCGTCATCGGCCATAAGTTATAACTCATTAACCAATGAGTTAACTCAGAGAGCGGCAACAACTCAAAAGCGCAACTCAACACAGTGTTGCCCAGGCCTATTTCCTAGACGCGAAAAATATTGGATTTATGGCGAATTTAAGAAAACTTCCAACATTTTTCGCAAACTTGTTTCGGTTTAGAAGACGCCAATTTTTGAAAGCGAGATTGCAGTTGGGCGTGAAGTTATATTTTGAGACCATTCGGGTTTTTGGGCTTAACAACTACCTATAACTATTTATCTGACCCAATTCCCATTCATTCCAGCCGATGGAAAACGCACAAAATCACCCATCGATAACTGAATTTTAATTCAAAAATGAATGTTCAAGTAATGAACAATTAGTTCCAACAACTGTGGTCTGTTTAGAGAATAATAGGCGAACAAGGACACCTGTTCCGGTGTAAAGTTCCAGGGCACCTCTTCTATAATTTGAATTGTTTATAGTGGCATTTGCGTCACGATCTATAACTTCATTGTTCATAGAATGGCGTTTTTTTGCAATCAAAGGCTGGAACTTTTCCCAATGTTTCATGCTAACCAGAGTGATTTTTTCAATGTTTTAATTCACTTTTACGTTCCTCTATTTTGCTCGGTTTAAATCTCGTTGCAACTACAATCAAATAACCGTCTGTTCTTGCAAGAAATATGTTTTTAATTGACAATCTCCGCGTTTCCCAATTTCTCTTTTATTGTACGTTTGCGTTGTTATTCCTATTATTAATCGTCCAAACGGGCTTTTACTCATTTGTGAAAGGAAATTGTTCCAAATTTTTACTACTTGGCAATTTAGTGCCCGCAAGGTTTGAACAGTGAAATTTACAAAAATGCGACAGACTTAGAATCTAGATGATCAATGTGTAGTTGTGCGATACAAAACGGAAAGACAATCTTATCAAATGCGATTTTTGTCCGTTTTATCCATTAAAAATCTTGGGGACGATGGGTGAACGACCTGCTGTTGATTAACTTTCGCAGCTAGTAATTGGCATTTAGGTAGAACCGCTCCTTTTCTTCTACATTATTCAATACAACACTTGGCATAATCATATTTTAACTACGCATTTGGATTTCCCGTGGTAGAGGATGGGCCATACTTGAAGACTAAGGTTTTGGGACGCTTGCTTTCATAAAACACTCTTAGTACTTGGATTTTTTGGTTTTAGGATCATTTAGAGACACAAACTTGGTGCTGAAATTATGCGCAAAAGAACAACACTTCAAATGTATTATGCTTTCCATTCGGCTTTCGCTTATTCTTATGCCGATTATCTCGCAATTTCAGGTTTTGCACTAAATAAACAACAGACAAAAAGTGTTGCAACAGCTTGCGGAACATTCCACTAACCATAAACAATTGGCAAATGACCGATGCAAATTGTTTATTATTGATCGTGCAAAAATGCCTGTAGTTCATGGGAATAAAAGGAAATTATCCAAGAACACACCTTATTTTCCATTGGGATTCAGAAGCAAATGCTTTTTCGGCTCGACGGTATGAAAGTGACTACTATTTAAAATCGCTCTAATGAATTGTGCGCTTCAGCTCAAAAACCCATGATTTGCGTATCGGCCAGGTGTAAAAAGCTTTCGCAAACTCGTTAAATACTATTGAATTGCGCTTCAGTCCCGCGGTTTTTCCAACTTTACTCGGTACCAAGAACCTCATACCACCGGCGAATTGTTGAATTATTTAAAACATTTCAGTTACTTTTATAAATAAAAGCCGAGTCTTGCCTAGAGTTAAGGTCAACCGCAACTTAAACAACACGAAACATGTTCGTAGATAAAAAAAACTAACAACAGGACGTTGCTTTCGATAAATATTTGAGTTAATTGAACCAATCAGGATTGTTTTGCACTTTGTTCAACCTGGAAGATTAAGTTACCAAACTTGTACATTAACAGTATAAGGATCGTTTGTTCTAATCTGGTTTAATTGAATGAATTCATACAAGGTGGACCTGTTTGTCTGTTGAAACCCCCATAAAAAACCAGCAAAAACGTTGTTTGGTTATTACAAAACGTCGCTGGGTTTTCGCAGGATTTAGGCGAAGGCCACATTTTAAGGATGGTGCTTCGTGAGATTACTAACAATCAACGCAAAGAGCTGAAGCATTGTTCACACACACTTTGAAACAATTTAAGCGACAAAGGAATGATCTGGCTTCAAGGTGGAATATTTTAGTATGTAAAGTAGCCATCTATTTGCTTCGTTTTTAGAGGCTTTTATTGCCACTTGGCTTTGAAGCTCTTGAAAAACACACTATTGTTATAGATGATGCTGCCAAAGCACAATACTTCTGGTATACTGTTGAATAACCAAATGTTTAATTGATGGTCTCTTTTAAGGCCTACCTCGGACCAAGGAATACATCGGTGCAAATTGCAAAAATCATAGCATCCACCGTAGTCGTAGTTGCCTTCATCATGGGAATTGTTATGCTGGCTTCCGCCTATGTAACAGCCACCGCGACTTGCAGACAATTGGAACAAGACTTGGAACTTCTTGGAGAAGTTGCCGACAGATTCGAAAATCCCAACGTTGGACTTCCGCAGCCTGAAGCCTTGAAACAGGTTTGTTTTTCCAGCATTTTTTCTTCTTAAAGCCAACAATTTTACGAAAAGAACTGATCGTTCTAGATAGCAACCAAAACAATCAAATTTGAAACTTTTGGCTTGAAAGGAGAAATTTGAGCAGATGCAAAACTAGGCAGAATACTTTGAAAGCTACAGTCGCTTTTTCATGTTAGGCCCACATATTTTAGAGAAATTTCGATTTTTCGCCCCCCAAAGGCGTCCTTAGTTTTGGTCAAACCTTGTAAGAGTTTCCAAGTCTCTTAGTATTCTAAATTATAAATGTTCTTAACTTTAGTTCCTTTCTGTTGTTAATTAATGCAGTCTTAATAGACTCTGGTTTTTTGCATAAACAATCAAGCAAATTTGCGCACCGAATTCACTAATAGACATTGAAACTTTTTGCCCGTTTTCAGAAAATTACTGTCCTAAAATTTTAAAATCTTTTACAATTAGGAAGAGGTTTATTTTCGTGCGATGACCCTTTTTGAGCAAAACTACGAAAGTCGAAGTGTGGCAGTATTCGGGTTGTGCCCCTAAAGTGTTAAGCCCCTAATTTTTGTTAAATTGAAAATTCGATTCCAATTTCATCGTCACTTAGGAAGAAAAAAGGTATTTTGAGATTTTTCCATTCGACGCCCCGTTTTCGAGTGAAAAAATAAGTCAGTTCAATTACCAACTGCTTATAACTTTAAGTGGCACACTATTAAGGAAAAAAATCCCCTAGCGATTTTTCCCAAAGTAAAAATTCGTTTCCCATTTTATCATTAAATAGGAAGGAAAAATGTTTGTTGATATTTTTCGGTGCAACGCCCGAGTTTCGAGTAAAAAATTGAAATTCCAACATCCGAGTTACCTCAAGTCTCATAACATTAACATGCGCGGGACACTTAAAAATTTAAATCAGCTAGTGATTTTTTTCAAATATGAAATTCGTTTCCAATTTGATGATTAATTAGGAAGAAAAAATGTATTTTGGCATTTTTCGGTGCGACGCCCAGCTTTCGAGTAAAACAATAAAATTTCAACAGTTGAGCGTTCGGGTAACCAAGCCTCATAACTATAATATGCCTGGGCACTTTTAAGTAAAAAAAATATCCGCTGGTGATTTTTCCCAAAATAAAAGTCCTTTTCAAATTTTCTGTTCAATTGGGAAGAGAAAACGTATCTAAATAGTTTCCCGTGCAGCGCCCAATTTTCGAGACAAAAAATAAAATTCCAACAGTTGCAGCATTCGAGTGACCAAGTGCTCATAACATCATTATACCTGGGACACTTTTGAATGAAACCACTCTCCCAGTGATTTTCCCCCAAGCAAAAATCGGTTTCAAATTTCATAATCAATTGGGCAGAGAAAAGGTCTCTTGACAGTTTTTCGTGTAATGGCCCATTTTTGGGTAAAAAAATAAAACTGGAACCGTTGCAGTATCCGAGTTGCCAACTACTCAAACCCTACTGGCACCAACCGGATGCCTTTAATTGAGAAAAACTGATAAGCCCCGAATGTTTTTTCAACTAAAATTTATTTCCGATTTTATAGTCAATTAGGAACAGAAAACTTCTTTTGGTAGTTTTCCGTGCGACGCGCGGTTTTCCAGCAAAAATTAAATTGGAACAGTTGCAGTAGGTATTCGCACAAAATTGCTCAGAACATCTCACAATAAACTGCGGATATTTTAAATAAAAAAACGTACTTTTGGGCTTATTTGTGCAGGGTTAAGGCCGTTTGCAGAGTTTCATCAGCATCAGCTCCGTTGCCCTGTCGGAAGCCCATTGAGCTCTTCAAATAAATGGTGCTTCACTCGGGCAGCAAACGCAACCAAAACACTAAAAGCCGACTTCTATTACATAATTAACCTGTTCGACCGGTTACTGTTATTTCAAGAGTTGGCATAACCAATATGGCTATTTATACAACAATTTTGCGGTCAAGCAAACTGAATAATGCCCGGACAACCAACCAACCGCTCGCTGTCCGCGATCGAAATTATTAAAATCTATATAATTTAAGACACTGCAACTCGATTATAGTATTTGTCAATATCGTTTCTCTATTGTTGCAACACGTTGAACGGTGATGTCATCGAAATAGCAACTAAGAATCTTCAAGGTTCTTGTGAAGGAAGTGGAACTGGTCTCATCGCCGATACCAATCTGGTCAACCAGATTTTCGAATGGTCGAGGAACGAATTTGATTTCGGTTTGAAAACAGCAAAAGAAAAAATTATTACCGATCAAAATCATTTGTCTGTGAAATTGTCAGCTGAAAAACGACGGTATTTCAACAGTTGGATCGTGACGAGAGGAATTATTATCAAAGAGAAATGTATAAATTTGAGAAAGCCGAGAAGAACAGAGCTGATGTAATTGATTGATTGATGTTTTTCTAAGTGTATTGAAGGAAAGCTTCACTGGGTTTAAGAGGGGGGATGGGGAGAAGCCAAATAAACTTAAAGTCCGCAGGACTCAAATCGGGTGACCTGGGAGGCCAACTCGTGACTTTTTTTTCGGGTTAGGACAATGATAATCTTAGTCACTATCGCAAAAATAATGCGCACAACCTTCAACCATGGAGTTTGCGATAACTGCGAAAACTATTCATTCAAGGTGCAATGCTGCTAGCAGCCTTTCCAATTAGCTCCCGGTGATCTCTTTATTTGGCTTGGTTTCGTTGCAACTCCAATAACATCAATAAATGTTTCGAAGGCAACCAATTGCATGTCCTTTTCGGTTCGTTGCATCTTAACTTTGCTCTCAAGGAATTATTTCTAATCAAAACGAATCACCGTCCATGTAAAAAAGTAGAAACTCGTAATTGCTATTGGAACCTTGAAATGGACACATTAGCATGGGCGTAGATTGGCTATTTGCACTGTGGATGAATTTCAGTTTATCTTGTTTTATGTTGTTGCTTGTATTGGAACCTATGAAAGTTTCTAGAGGGACAATTGCGTTTTCCTGTTTGTGCTTCTTTATAAGCATTTTCACTTAATGCTCCACTTTGATAGCAGGTTCAAAGCGTTGAATTTTCTCTTGTATTCGGTGCATAGTTTTCAATATTTAGATTAATAATAGCGGCGCCAATGGGAAAAGTAAAAGCATCATGCTTGATTATTTTGGTGGGGAAACCGTGCCTCAGTGCAATGGTATTGATGTGGGACCTCTTTGACCTACTCCGCAGAACGTTTATTCAATTTTCTCCACTAACTGGCAGAAGACTGTAGGAAGAACCGGATTATTAAGAAAAATACTCTATGCTGGACACGAGAAAAATCTAATTAGATTCCGTGACGTCGAAACTGATAGACGAAAGAAGAGGCTGGCTAAGGCCAAGTTTCAAACGAAACCGCACATAAAAATATTCCGCTGCTTAGTTAAATGTATACTTTACCTTGAACGAGTGGGTTTAATTATTTATAAGCACGTCATGAGAACGTTTTTGTTATTTAGCAACAAATAATCAGTTAAGCGCGGTTTTCTAGCATAGTTGATCAGTATGCGGACCCCGATCTTAACGCCAACAGTTGCATCTGCTCAACATTAAGTTTGCAAAAAAACGATTTTAATGGAAAATGGTTTGCATGCATCGATTCCAGTGTGTTGAATGCATGTCAACAATACAACATTTTCTGTTCGTATCTTGAGGGTAGAATTTGGAGCGAAAGTTAAAAATAAACCAGAAACTTTCGGCCGGTGGCCAGTCCTCTTTAGCAAATCGGAAAAGCGGCAAATTCACAATACTCAATGAGCAAAGACAACAATTCTTGGTACTGTGAACGAATGAAACCGTACCGAAGAGCGGTATTTGCCATGTCTTACGTCTGTAGAACCTCGTCGAGGTGAAAGCGAGAGGTCTTTGCTCTGCACCTCGAAATCGGGTCAAACATTGCTACCAGCTGATGGCCTGAGGATGGAAACAACGATTTATTGATCAATATGGGGCTAAAGTCGTTTTGAAATGCATTGGCAAAGATACAATAGGTCTAGGCAGGGCCTCGCACGACCGAACCAAGAAGATTCTGGACTTGTCTTAGACAATAATTAGAAACTTTCAATCAGAAAATAGAAAATATTTTGCGGTTTGCTCTGAAAGCTACCAAATTGATCAATCCAACAAAAAGCTTGAAAAGAACTCAATTGAGGCAACAAAACTCCATTATAAACAGCCTTGCTCTGCATCTGTTTTTTCCATGAAATACTCACTTAGTTCTGAAGGCTGGCAATGGAAAGCATAATTAGGGCAATAATTGCATGTTTTATATGCGCTATTAATTTGCCATTTCGCTTCGATCAGTTCGATAATTGAATTTTTGCGCCTATTGACACAAGAGAAACTGCCAACCACCTTTCAATAATCGTTGACTGCACTTTCATTGCTAATCAACCGTCCGTGAAGAAAGAAAGTAAACATGATTGTGCTAACAATTGGAGAAAGGGAGATCGGTCCTAACTAGATGCATCTTTTTATTGCAGGATGAAACCAAGCAAAAGAAGCGCCAATCTGAGAGTACGGAAATACCAAAGAAGAACATCAAAGAAATTGACGACAATTCCGTGGACGATGACTCGTCAGATGATTCGAGCGAAGAACCAAAAGTCCATTTCAAACTGCCCCTTCAACTGGACTTCGATGACTTAGCTGGAAGCTTAATTGCTAAGAATCAACGGTCAGCACTGGCCCAGCAATCGGCGGCACAAATGCTCATTGTATGTGGAATTTCAGATCCAAGATGAACTGCATTGTTGAGAAGAAGCGCGCCGAAGAAGTGGTAGACCATCAGCCCAAAACCCTCCGATTGCCATTTGGCGTCAATCTAACCACCGATCCACGATTTGAGCGACTGACTGGCGAACGAATGATCATTATTTGCGAAAGTGGTAACATGCAAAGGTAGGTTCTATTTAAAATATGTTATTTTAATGTCATCGATTGTCTTTCTTTGGATTACCTGAAGGGCTATTAAGCATAAATAAATGGTTTTAAAAGGTAAGCGCGCATTTGTGCGCATCGGACGAACGAAACGGATTAAAATTACTGTTTGCCTTATTTTTTATTAATACATTTTTTGGTAAATAATCATTTTCCCTTGCTCCGTTCGCCTAACGTAAACATACGCGCTTTTCTTCAGAGTTTTAGTCTAGAGTTTAACAGCGTTAACGCTGCAATAAAACGTATTATTCCTGCTCCTCTAAAGGCAAGCGATCATTTATTCCCATCGGACAAAGGGAACGAATTGAAATGAATTCTTACTTTATTTTTTGTTAATACATTTTATGGCAATTATTCATTTTTATTCGTTCCGTTCGCCTGATGCGAACAAAAATGCGCTGGCCTTTAGAGCAACAGCGTTAAAAATGCCCTAAAATAAAATCATCATTCAAACGCCCTTGTTTTATATTCGATCGAATTTTGAAAAAACCAAGTTTCTAATTCGCCCTCCTCAGTTCAAACCACTGCTGGAATTACGTAAACTGTAAATGTGCAAAAACAACAAATCTAGGAAGTTTGGACACGCGCCACGTTAATTATTCATCGCGTCGGTCTGTAAAAGCTGTAGAAACACTTCTATATGTAGGTTTCTTTGTGTGGAACTACCATAATTTATAAACAATGCATCGCTTCCTGCATTGCTGCAACCTGAACAATTATAGACCTAATTTTTATCTATTTTATATACATAACTTTCCATGCGATTTCATGCAATGCTGCCAAGTTCGAACACATTAATTTATTGACGAGTAAAAAGCAATTTTTCTTTGAAAGAGCTTTAATATCGACATATTTAAGGTTTTGCATTTGAATAGTTGAAAAAATATGAATACATTTTATTACATTAATTTTGTACTTTTTAAATATTAAATTGATTTCAATTTACAATGTTGTGGTTCATTAGTGACCGTGATGATAATTTGTAAAAGACGCCTATTTAGGTTTGTGGGTTTTCCGGTCAATAGATGGTGGCAGAAATAAAACACTATTTTTTCATGAGCCATTTTATTAGGCCCTTGAAAAAATTGTGTTTTATTTTCGCCACCATCTATTGACCGAAAAACTCACAAACCTAAATAGGAGTCTTTTACTGCTTAAGTTTATAATGCAACCTGAAATTCTGATTAGTAAAAATTTATCATTTTAATAACTTCTAACTTACTTCTAACTATCGTAGACAAGAAACGAAACTATCGGGAAATTGATTAAACATTAAGTAATTTGATGCAATTACCTAATAACAAACAGGTGCAAATAAACCTGATTTGCGATTGTTGCAAATGCGAAACGATCGTGTGTTAACTGTGAAAGTTGCTCTCGAAATATTAAGAATGCACTGATCGGGGAAAATGGGGAATGAAATTCACCTTCTGGTTTGTTGGCGCAGCGCCCAACAGCCCGAAAAGCCTCAACAAAATGACGATGATGATGACGACGATGACGACAGCGAACAAGACACCATCATGATCCAGCCAGTGATGATTCCAATCCCACACACCGCGTTCCAAACTCACATGCCTCAACAGATGCCTCCCATGCAACAGGTAACCGAAACCGTTAAATATTTGATTGTTTCCTAACTCGATTTGTCTGGATCAGCAACCCCAGATGGAGATGCGCCCCATGCATCCAATGGAATCAATGAGACCACCAATGCCACCAATGAGACCCGGCATGGAGAACATGCGCCCACCAATGCCACAGTTCCGCCCAGCCATGGATATGATGCGCCCACCCATGATGCCGCCCATGGAGCGTCGCCCAATGATGGAACAGCCCAGACAACCGATCGAGAAAATCATCGCCATCAGACAGAGCTACGAGCCGGTCAGCCAGTCCTTGGAACCTCAACGCTCAGAGGAACCTCAACGGCCCCAAATGATGTTCATTCCTCAGCAAGTAAGTGATCCACATCAATAACACGCCACATAACTCGAGTAATCCTACGGGTTTTGTTCGCAAAGGTTCAAATTCGCGTGGAACCTCAACAGTCGCAACAGCAATCTGAGGCCTCGCCAAACCCAATCATTCAGCACATCATTCAGCAAATCATCGCTCAGAAAATCGCTGAGTCGCAAAGAGCCAGCCAGGAGAGTCAGCAACCACAAGAGAACAGAGATTCAGTGGAACAACAGCGACCAATGCCAGTTCGTCCCTTGCCTCAAAGAGTTATGCCCAATGGATTCCCTATTCCTGAAGAAGTGTTGACTCAGCTTAACAGGTAAAATAGAGCTCTAGACAAATTTTTTATCAAAGAACCGCAAGTTAGTTTTGACCAGTTGGGGTACATACTCTCGAAGACATTAGTATTATTTTACAATATTTTCAAGAGGGTCGTTTTTTTTTCTATTATTTTGAAAGACTGAGATTTGTAATGTTTATTGTTCCAACATTTTTCATCAGCTCAAATTTTTTTTCAAACTAATTTTGGCGCAATTCTGGTTTCTTTTTTATGTTTTGCTGGTCAATTTTAAGTTCTTTCTTCTTCTATGCTTCGAAAAGTATGGCTTCAAATATACAAGGCGTTCCATATATACCGATCGACATCGAAACAAAAATCGTTCAGCGGTTATTCAGATCAGATTCAGAAGTTTGATGAAAACAAAGTTTTTTGAAAGGCGAAACCTACGAACTGAAATGTTCAGTAAGTGTTTCTTAAACAAGGTCTTTTATAGTGATCTACAAACATTTGAAGAGCGTGCTGGCTGTAAAGTAATTTTTTAGGTCATTCCAATGAACCATTTCTGGTTTAAACTTTGTCTACGAAAATAACGACGTTCAAACTTTTTCCAAAAATTGAGCAATTCATGCAATATTTTTCAAAACTAGAATTAAATAGGAACTTTCCATACATTTTACATCCTCACGCTGTATAAAGCGACTCCATATTTAGTATAGTTTTTGCATAATGGCTTTTCAAAGTGTCTGTTAACGTAAAAACGACGACGGGAAAATTCAAGTCAATTTAAAAATTTGTCAAAAATTCAAAAAATACGCCCTGAATTTGAAAATTTTAGGGCATATAAAGCAAAGTGTGTTCTATTGTCTGCTCTAAAACGCATCTCTATTGTTATGATAGCATTTGCAAATTAATTTTTAAAATGTCTGTTATCGTAAAAAACACATTGGGAAAATTGAAGTCAATTTCAAAAATTTGTCAAAAATTAAAAAAAAAGGCCTTAAATTTTAAACTTTCCGGAGTTATAATGAGAAGACTCTTCTATTTATGTCGGTATAGAGCGTCTCCATGTTAATCATAATGATTTGTTGAAAGTGTCTGTTAACGTAAAAGCAACGACAGGAAAACCCAAGTAAATTTCAAAAATTCGTCAAAAATTCAAAAATACGCTTTGAATTTGCAACTTTTAGGGCATATAAAGCAAAGTGTCTTCTATTAGTTGCATTATAAAACGTTTCTCTTTATCGTCTAGTTTTTGCATAACTATTTTTCGAATGTGTTTATTAACGAAAAATCGGCACCGGCTCTTAAAAATTTCGCCCAAACACCAAAAACTACGTTATAAATTTGCCACTGTCAGAGCATTTAATGTCAACTATCTTCTATTGATTTCTCTTGAAAGTGTCTCTTTCCTTAGTCTAGTGTTTGCATAATGAATTTTTGAAAATTTTGGTTAACATTAAAAACACACTGGAAAAATCCAAGTCAATTTCGAAAAAATCGTAAAAAATTCACAAAATACGCCTTGAATTTGCAACTATCAAGGCACATAAAGCAAATTGTCTTCTATTAGTTGCATTTTAAAATGTTTCTCTTTTTCGTCTACTTTTTGCATAACTATTTTTCGAATGCGTCTAATAACGCCAATAAGACACCGGCTTTATCTAAAAAAAATCGCCCACGCTCCCAAAACTACGGTATAAATTTGCCACTTTCAGAGCTTTTAATGTCAACTATCTTCTATTGATTGCTCTATAATTGCTAATATAGATTGCTGCGTCTCTTTCCTTAGTGTAGTTTTTGCATAATGAATTTTTGAAAATGTCGGTTTACGTAAAAAACACACCGAGAAAAACCAAAAGTCAATTTCAAAAAAATGGTCAAAAATTCGGAAAATGTGCAGCTTTCAGAACATCTAAGTGAAGTCTCTTCTGTTGATTGCTGTATAAAGCGTCTCTCTCGACTTTAGTATATTTTTGGCATAATGAGTTTTTGTCCAACTTCGACTTTTTATGTTCCTTATGTTTTTGAAGGTATGTTTATGTTATAAAGGTACCAACAAACTATAAATTTCAGTCCAGTGCTTCTTAAACAAGGTTTTTCATATTGGTCTACAAAATTTTAAGAGAGTGTTTGGTAAGTAATTTTATAGATCTCTTTAATAAGCCTTTTCTGGTTTGAAGTTAGTCTGCGAAAATAACAATCTTCAAACTTGCTCCAAAAATGCAGCATAACCCATGAAAATTTTCCCAAACCTAGAGCTGAAAAGGCACTTCCCATACCTCTTCCTCCTCTGCTACCACAATTAATTCTTCATTATGAATATTTGCATTAAAATAATAAAAAATTTCAGATTGCCCAACAATGACCGCGTTATTGTAGCAGTATCTGAACCGGAATCTTCGGAAGAAGACTCGTCTGAAGAATCTGGCGAGACTCAAGAGATGGGCGGACAAGAGCAAAGACCTCAACCAACCGCCGAAATGGAAAATCGTCAGGCTTACGTGCGAAGATTGCCCATAAACATGCTTGCTAACACGATGCAACAACAAGGCGCTGACCAAGAAGAACCACAAGCTGCTGCTTCTGAAGAAACTCGTCCACACTGTGAGTTTTTTTTGAAGAAATGATTGGCTGGATGCGAATAACGAGCTGTTGATTTTTCCAGACGTTCAACCAAGATCAGTTTCTTCTGATGAGCCCAAGTCCCGAGCTACCAGATCGGCCAATCCGCTGCTGGGCGAAAAGAGAGTGAAACGTTGCGCTTGCGACTGTGCCTGCTAAGTACGGCACCGAGAAGACAACATTACAATTTACTAAACATTACAGTATACGTAGATATAGACGAGGTACTTAGAGCTTGTTCAGTAACATTTCTTCGCAGCTTATTTTCCCGAAAAAGTTGTAAATAATAGCGGATTGAAGCAATTCAAGTTAGCCCTACCCCGATAATACTACACTCTACATTATAACGTTTTTAGGTTTAGGATTAATGAGTTAGTGATATGTATATAGAATTTCTATATGATGTTCTTTCGGTCTTTGAGAATGTGATACGATATCCGAAATTTGTGGAAAACAACAATATTTCTGAATAAATTAGATTTATTTTTTGCATGTGTGTTTCAATTTGCTTGGAATCAATTATTTGCATTAAAAAATTAGATATGCATTTTTCTACCATCTTAGAAATAGATGCTGACTTAAAAAACATTTGCAGCTTCAAATTTTTTGAACCGTGCATGTGAACACGGATGGTTTTTATCGGTTGGCTTCGCAAACCATCAGTCAAATTACATCAAAAAGTGAATTTTGTCATAAATAATCTTTTTTATATGCGAAAAGTATTTTTTAATTAAATGTCTTTGGTTCAGTGTTCGCTTTTTTTTTAAACTGTCAACATTTCCTTATCAATGGTTCACTTTCTAAAAAGGCTATTTATTTCTGCCTAGAATGATGTACAAATGAGCGTTCTTGCTCATTTTGCCTCCGA